GTTTTACTAGCAGATAACAGAGGGGCAGAGAGTAACTTGAGAACTATTGCTCATTCAGGTATGCCTGCATCATCATATGAATATGTATGCATATACCATCTTTTTCCCTTCCCCTTCTTGTAGAACTGTATAAATATCAGGGCATCCATTTTGCCTACAGGGGAGTGCCTCCCACTAACTTCTAGTGAGGTCCCCCTCCAGTACGTACTGCTCAATAAACACTGCAGTGAAGCCTTGATTATTCTGCATTTGTGTCCTGCATTTTGATCCCAAAGAGCCACAGACTAGTGGAAGTGAAAATGAAGGCCAGTTGGAAAGAGAAAATGGAAGTAGCTTTATCATTAACTTCAGAAGTAAGACTCGTGATGCTTGCTTACCCAAGGTGCCAGCCATGCTGTCAAAGAGCCAGGTGTGCCATATCTAACAAAAGACACATAATGGTTGCTTTTGATGCATAGTGCTTCAAACAGTTCCATTGTATGTTGCTTCGTGGAGAGATTCTTGGGTTCCAGTTGGGAGCACAAATGCTTGAGCCTGGCGTGCACCTGGATGATAGAAAGTGACAGTTACCAGTCAATAATCCACCGCTGACAGCTTCCACCACTTCCAGTCCTCACCATCAGTGCCACGGCCAGCTCCAGCACTGCCCCCACTCTGTTAGCTGCCAAACAGCTGATCCATGTGCCAGGTATTCCTTTGTGGCCCACAATTATTTTTAATTTATCATTGTGGTCCTTTGTCCTCTGCACATTTGGCAGGCCTGCGCTATATCTTGTGTGTGCAATACAAACATATCTAAGTTAATATAAATTATAATGTAAAATTTGAAATGCCTTAGACAAACCAATGAGATTCTCATTTTACAGATGCAGAGCACTGAACCTGAGATAAATAGTTACAGATCATCCATAGCAAAGAGAGATTTTACACAAACTTCCAGTAGTACTTGCTACGTTTAAATACCTGTGAGTTAGGAATTGTTGCTAATTTATTACAACTTGCCCATAGCCACAATGTATGCCTCCACTGTAGACAAATGCAGAGAATAGCACTTAAAGTAAACCACTGGACCGAGCCCATATTTGACAACGGCTCATCTGATTCTTTTCTTTTTCCACTGACAGCATTTCCGTCCTTCCTACCTTTGCTGTGTTGTCCGATTGGCTCATATTTACGGAGGATGGGGAGGGATCCAGAGACCACTGCTCAGGACATATTGAACACATCTGCAATCATACAGTTATAACAACCCAGCGTAATTAAAGACTTCCTCAGTGAAGATGGGTTACATAAATCTTATTTTATTTTTTATTTTATTTACATGCCACACGCTTCCCATCAAGAGGCTGCCAGCATTCTGAGTGAGGCCATGGGGAGACTATTCATAAATGCAGGAAAAAATAAGTCAAGTTACATGACCCAAGGACTCTAGTGTCTTTACACAAATGCACAGTGTATGAGGAACAAATAGGAAGAACTAGAGCTCTTACTGTGTAAATGGTTTATGAGGCATTACTGAAACCTGGTGGAACAAAACTCATGCAAGGATAGGAGGCTGCACTGCACCTTATCCAACAGGGAGGAAGAAGTGCACACATGCATTGAGATCCAGGAATTTGAGCAGAAGGGTTTAGCTGAGGGCACTGAGGTAAGAATTACAAGGGAGAGGAAACATCAACATTATTATTGTTGTTGGTCACAGACCCAGATGCTTAGACTGGATTTGGCATTTTTATCCACCTATCGAGTCCTTCCCAAGAATCTGGGATAGGCAGATGTTGTTTGATGGTGTTATAGGTAAGGTCGCAGGATATCAGCTGTTCCAAGTAAAGCTGCCTTTTGCAACTGACTGATGGTGATTTTGTCAATGCCAATGGTCTTCAAGTGTTGGCGTTGCACCTAAGGCACCTATTACTGTATTGTCGAAGGCTTTCACAGCCAG